TTTATTGATTATTAGTATTTAATTATACTTTTACTAAATTTAAATTTAATTTAATTTTTTAATTAAAAAATATTTAAATTTAGATTATAAGTTATTTTTATTAATTATTAATATTTAATTATAACTTTTATTATAATTTAAATTTAATAAAATTTTTATTAAAAAAATATTTAATAATTAATAATGTAATAGTTGATAATTATTTTTATTAATTATTAATATTTAAATATACTTTTACTATAATTTAATCTTAACTAAATTTTTTATTTAAAAAATATTTAAATATAATATAGATTGTAAGTTATTTTTTTGATTATTAATATTTAATTATATTTTTATTATAATTTAAATTTAACTTAAACTTTATTTACATAACTAAAGAGAGTAAGTTATTTTTAATTATTAGTATTTAATTATATTTTTATTGTAATTTATATTTAACTAAATTTTTATTTAAAAATATTTAATAATTAATAAAATAATAGATGAATAAATTATTTTTAAAAATTATTAATATTTAATTATACTTTTTACTATAATTTAAACTTAACTAAATTTTTTGTTTAAAAAAATTTAAAATAATAAAATATTTTATTTAAACAAATATCCAATAATTAATAATAAATAGATAATAAGTTATTTTTATTAATTTTTAATATTTAAAATATATATATTACTATAATTTAAATTCAATTAAATTTTTTATTTAAAAAATTAAAGGAAGTAAGTTATTTTATTAATTACTAGTATTTAAATATACTTTTACTATAATATAAACTTAATTAAATTTTTTTAAAAAAAATATAATGTAATAGATGGTAGATTATTTTTATTAATTATTAGAATTTAATATTTTATACCATTACTATAATCTAACTCAACTAAATTTTTTATTAAAAATTATTTAAATTTAAATTGTAAGTTATTTTTATTAATTATTAGTATTTAAATATACTTTTTATTATAATTTAAATTTAATTAAATTTTTTATTTAAAATATTTAATAATATATGATAAATTATTTTTATTTATTTTATATAATAATTTAATAATTAATAATTAATAATATAAAATATAATATTTTAAAATTTATATATTTAAAATTTAATATATATTACATTTTTATTTTGATATTTATATTAAATATTAATTATAATATTAATATAAAATCAATTTTTTAGAAAAAAAGGAAAGTGCTTAAACTGTAATAAAAAAAAATACTGGATATAAATGATATAAAAAATGTTATTTTAAATTATTTATAAAAAATTTTTTTAATTGGACTAGTAAAAATGAATTTATTAATAAATTTATTTAAAAAAATTCAAATAAATGCTCAAAATAAAAAGTAATTATTAGAATGGATTCTTTATAATAAATTTGAAAATATTGAGTTTTTTGATAAAGAAGGATTTAGTATTATATATAAAGCTATTTGGATTGATGGATTTATTTTAACTTGTTCATTAAAATTAGCAAAATTGATATGATTCTTAAACTTTTAATAAATCATTAAATTTAAATGAAAAATTTCTAAATAAAATATGATATTATTTATTATTTTAATTTTAAATAATAAAATTTTAAAATAATTTTAATATTTTAGTGAAAATATCATTATTTATATTATAGTCAATTGAAAATATATACAAAAGAAAATCTTATTCAAATTTATAGTTTTACTTAATATTCAAATACATTAAATTATATTATAATAATATAATATATACAAAATAGTAATTGAAGATACAGTCAACTCTTGTTATAACGAACTCTATGTCCTAGACCTCAACTTCGCTATAAGGCTATAGTGAAGATTTTAAGAGATTTGATTGGCCAATTCGCTATAACAAGAGTATTTTTATTATATTTGTTCAAAAAATTCGTTATATCAAGAGTTTGCTATAACAAGAGTTGACTGTAAATGGATTATAAAATTATTAAATTAAATTTATCAAAAAAATTTTAATTTATTGTGATCTTTATCATAGTAATATTTTAAATATTAGAGAAGATATTTTATCTATTAGTGGTTAAGATTATATAAATCTATAGATTATTTTCAAACATCTAAAAAAATGATATATATGGAGTTTTATCATTTGTAGCTCCTGAAGTTTTAAGAGATCAATCTTATACATTAGCTAGTGATATATATAGTTTTTCTATGATTATGTGAAAATTAGTATCTAAAATTCTTTATTTAATAATAAAGCTCATGATTTTCAACTTAGTTTAGATATTTGCAAAGATAAACAACCTTAAATTATTAAAGATACTTTAAAATGTTATATAAATTTAATGAAAAAAAATGTTGAAATATAAATCCATTATAAAGACTAACTGCATTAGAAATTAAAGAGATTATTAATAATTAGTTTAAAAATATTAATAATAAAATTTTTAATAAAATATTAAAAAATGATATTGTGAAATTTTATAAAATAGATAAAGTATTAAAACAAAAACAAAATAATTATATATTAGATAATAATATTATTATTGAATTTCATTTACAAGCATATTATATAAGTTATTTATTGAATTTTACTGAAAAATTAAATTAAGTTTTAAATAAAGATACTGTAAAATTAAAATTAAAATTGATGAAAAGAAGTAATGATTATAATATTTATAAAATAAAAAATTTTAAGATTTTAATTAATATATATTTTAATTTATAAAATTTTAAAATATTATAGAAAATAAAATAAATATTTAATTTAAATTAATTATAGGAGATTTTATATATCACCAGTGGTAATCATTACTGGTGTCATAAATTTCTTTTTTTAAAATTTGTATAATCCTATTTGAATTTTTGTTAAAATCAAAATTGCCTTTTTAGATTTATATAACATTATCTAATTTTTCAAAAAGGTATTTTGACTAGTATTTTAGCCAGAATTATAAATTTTTGGCTGAAATTAAGTATGTGATGAATAATATGTAATGAATATGATTTTATACTCAAAAAATTTCTAAATTTTCAGAATATATAGTAAAAATGAAATGTGAAAAGTTTGATGTAAGATGATAAATTATTCATTATAAGAAATTATATAACACCAGTAATTCATAGCAAAAATTATTAATTACAATATTTTTATGCCTTTATAATATATTATTTTATTAATATAACTCAAATTTTTATTATAATATACTGTAATTATTATATTTAAATAAAAATTTTTATAAAAAAATTAAATTAAATAAATATTTTTCAAAATATATAATTAAAATAATTTAATTTATCATAAATATATATATAAGTTGATTGCTAGAAAAATCAGATTCCAGAAATTTTTTAACAAAATTAAGATTTTTATTGCATTTTAATTTTTGATGTTATTAGATTAAATTGTATTAAGCTCTTAATTTAAGTCAAAGTTTCTCAGAATCTGATTTTCCTAGAAATCCTCCCATATATGTTTATATAATTTTTATAAATTTGATATTAGCTAAAATATTTATATTAAAGTTTTTTAAATATTAGAATTAATATATGTTTTATTTTTTAAATTTTATATCAATAGAAATTAATATAATATATATAAACAATTAGTAAAAAATTTATGTTATTTAATATTAATGATAGTATTTATATTAGTAATTCATTTTATAAAACTAAAAAAAAATATATAAATAATTTTGTTAATACTTATATAAATAAAATATAAATAAATCTTAAATCAGTTTGAAAATATTTGCAAAATATAAATATAAAAATATCATACTTAATTATCTGAATAACAAATAATTAATCAATGCATTGCTATAGTAACTTAGTTATCAGGGATTACCTGTGAAGTTACGTTATAATTATCCGCCGTGTAATTATTAAATTAACAAATAATATACTTTTTTATTTAATTATACTGCATATTTAATGCTACGCAAATGAATGTACTTAATGACATAAAGAATAAGTAAATCAAATAAAAAAATTATTATTATATAAGCAATCTTTAAAAATGCCTTCTTAACTTTACATTAAGCAAAAATGTTAAATTTCAATCATGCGATAATTAATTATATAAATTAGTCGGTCAACCGGTCGCATGACCAACAGGTACCATCCCTACTTGTTTGAATATTTAAATAGTTAAACCCACTATTTTAAAGTTCAAAAATTTATGAATAGGAGCAATGAACTTTTTAACAAAACTTCTAAGGTGTGTGTTTAATCTTTTACAAATCAATCAATACATTAAGATCAATTATCCAATGAATTCTAATATCTTGGGAGATTTTTTTTATCAATGAACGCGCCTAGATAATTAATTACAAAATAAATTAATGGAGTTCTTTTTAATACTATTATAATTTATTAAAAGTGAAAATATTTTCTTTTTAATTACACCTAAAAACTATTTTATTTAAGAGATGTTTGCATTGTAAAAAAAATATTGTAATGTATATATATATATATATATATATATATATATTGTTTTTTAATGTTGGAAATAGAATAATTTTGTTCATATTTACATAATAATTTTATTTTTGAATTGCTACGAAAAATTATTTTTTTTTGGTAAATTATGTATTTTTTTAAAAACATTTTTTTTTTTTGTTTACGTTATCGTAAATATAGTTTCTATCTGCAATTACAGATATGCAAAGCGATGTTAAATGATTATACTAGCAAAATAATTAATTAAATTTTGATCTTGAAAAAGTTTCATCAGAAATTCAAAAAAAATTTCGTTTTGAATTAAGCAAGCGACTTTTTAATTAAATGAATGAGCTTAAATTCATAACAAATTAAATTCTGATCCAGTCTTTTTAAAAGAAACTACATGTTTTTGATCACATGTAGCTGTGTAAATTTTGTACATTGTTTGTAGTATTTAAAACAAGATCGACTAATTTACCCGGAACCACATGATGTAATCATGCATAGTTGACGCCAAACATGTGAAATACAAAATATTACAGTATTATGAAAATCTATCCTTATTTTTCGACACTTTTTCCCACTTTACTTTTTTCTAACCATGCCATTCTCAAAGATCTTTTCCGGTGATTTACCAGAACTAACATTTTATGTTATAAAATATTTACGAAATGATTTAAAATCACTTTATTCATGTATTTTGGTCAATCGATTTTTATGTCGAATGACTATTCCAATACTCTGGGAGAAACCATTTGCATTGAAATGTCTAAATGGAAAGCGTTTCGATTTCCTTGAAGTTTACTTTTCATTTTTTAGTGAATTAGATAGAAATCAGTTAATAAAATTTGGGGTTAAATTCAAACGTATTTCAACCCCTTTATTTATTTATCCCTCCTTTATTAAATCACTTGATACATATCGAATGGAATTGCATGCAATTAATTGGGCAAATAACCTTGATGCCGATATTACATCATCCCCTTCCACAATCAAAGTTGAACCGGATGATATCACTTTTCTTGATATTGGAAAGGAAGTGGAAATCGGATATAATGATATAAGGTTAAAGAAATTTGTTGATATGATTTGTAGCTTATTATTGAAATCTTTTATAATCAATAACGCTTCCTTAAAAGATTTTAATCTGAAAATCACTACTTCTCATGGTCTTTTTTTACCTAAATTCTTTCAATTGATTTTTAATAATACAACATTTGTGTCAAATGTCGAAAAGTTTAGCATTGGTTTCATTGCGAACCCTAATGTTTCAAAATTTTCTCAACTCGAATCACTTTTAACATCCTTACCATCTTCATTACCTTTTGTTAAACATTTTCATATTTCTTATCTTTCTAGAAGCAAAGTTTTGAAGAATGAAACGAAATCAAGAACACATATTTTATCATTAAAAATTTCATTAGACGCCTGTAATTTTTACAATAATCATTTAACCTCCATTGAGTTTAATCGTTGCAATTTTCACAATGTTTACTCATTTGATGGACTTAATGATTTTACACAGCTGAGATCACTTTGCTTCATTAATTGTAAACAGATTAAACCTCAATTTTTTCAACCATTACTTGATACACCAACTTCATTAAAACTTAAATCTTTAAAATTGCATGGTCCGCCAACAGGGTTTGATTTATTGTTTAAAAAGGTTGGTTCTTACCTGGAGCATTTAGAATTATTTATTATAGGCTCTTCTGGTGGAGTTTATGAAAGTATTATAATTAATTGCGATCAAATTAAATTCCTTTGCTTGGCTAATCTTTATCATGATGACAATTCTCAATTATACGGAATGATTACTCGTAATAACGAACGTCTAAAATATCTTACAATTTCATCTTTCATGAGTATGAAAATGAATTCAAAGTTACTACATGGATTAGGTTCAGTATTACCAAAATCTTTAAAATATTTGGATTTAGATATTGTGACTGATCAGAAGAGCTTGAGCTCTTTTCTGGTCGATTATAGGCATGTCGGTTTGAAAACATTTTTATTTAGGAATAGAAAGAATGAAGGCATTGATATTACCTTTAACATTTTAAAAAATTTTGTAATAGACAACGAGATCAGAAATTTTTCTTATCATATTAATAAGTATTTTAACTCTGACAGTATTATACATCGTAATTTGTTGCAGTTTGTTAAAGAAATGCCGCCTTTTGTAAAAATGCAAAGATATCATGATTTGGTTGTAAGAATTTCCGATTTTAATTATGACTAGCCTTTCTTTTTTTTTGTATTTGTATTTGTTTTCCCCCTTTTGATTGGTTAGTATACAAAAATTTCATTTTATGGTCAGGTGGTGGGATAAAAAAAATCAGGATAAATTTGCGTTGGAACCTTAAATATTTTTATAATATTTAATCAAATTAAATTTTAAACGAAGTTAGAGGTTGAAACCAATTTTTTTCACAAAACACTTTTCCCCGGATCAAAAAGAATTTAAAAATATTTCTTTCTTTAATTTTTATTTAACTTTTAATAAAGAAAATATTAAACAAATTACATGTTAGACAATATACAACTTGAAATAATATAACCAATTTAAGTTTCATTAAATTCGATCAACGATCTTATTAAACCGGTAATTGCCAGAAACCGGTTTGTTGCAACTGACTTTAAATCGGTTCCAATTTCTAGAACGATCATTTCATTTTAAACAAAAGCGTTCGACATCTAATAAAATTCATAAATATTTATTAAAAATTTTTTTTATTTGGTTCAAATAATTCTTTCCCGGTGTTAATTTGAAATTGAGCGAAACCAGTTTAACTAACAAGGATTTAAATCTGACTCGAGCCCGTCCTAAGATTTATGCAACAATTTTATTAAATACAATTCTCTTGTGTAGTTGATTATACAGTCAAGTTTATATGGAGACATGATAAAATTTTTATTAAATTTCAAGATTTCAGAAGTCTTTTCTCAAAGACTCGTCGACTATACACTTTTTCAATCAAGTCGGACTTTTGAAGTTTTAATACAAAAAGTTCTAAATTCTAGTTTACCAAAGTTAAAAATATAATAAATATTGCGAATATAGCGAAAATAACAAATAAAATAAATAATCTAAAAACTATGTATAATAAAATAAATAAATATAAGAACGAAAAGTAATATAATTATTTGTAAATCTTTCAGTTACTGCGCCATTAGTAAATTATAACTAATTTCTTATGTTCGATATATCCGTCAACATATCAATAAACAAGTAATTGTTTAGAGTTTTTCCAGGACGAGCTCCTAATTAAAGCAGATCTATAATGGAATTTCGTCGAATGTGGAAAAATTTGGTTGCTATTAAAATCAAATTACGAGACATAATAAATCATATGATTTTAATAGCAAACTACTTAAATGCATTTAAAAAAA